TAGTATTGTCCAGTGATCGTTATTCCTTTTCCCAAAAAAATCCGTAAAATGATTTCCTCGGTAACAACGTTTGCCAGGCTTCCTGGTCGCTCCCATCAAAAACGGATCTTTGCCCACGTTTAAATTCGTTGAAGCAATATCTAACTGTCATCGTAGATGGCAAAATGTCTGCATAAACAGTATCCATCTTTGTTTTCATCTCCTCGCATTTTCTCCCATCCAAAAACAAAAAGCGAATTACCGAACGATACTGCTCTTGTTCTATCTTAGCGAAAATAACAAAACACATCTCAGTCGAATGGCTGCCAAATCCAAACTAACCTATCAATCAGTCTGAAATTCGTTTTGGCGTGGTTTGATAGATGGCAGCACACGATGATAACACCAATTTCCGTCAGGAACGTCCTCTGTCTTCAAACAGGGGAATTTATTGAACCGCCCTCGTAAATAAACAAGTACAAAACTTGACACGTTGTTCAAAATTATTAGGGATATAACCCATGTATAAAAAAATAAGCGTCAGTCAATAACTTTTACATTTAAAGGATTTCTTTAACTGTCAAGGAGGAATAAAAAAAGTAAAAACAATTCAGGTAAATCTATTAAAATAAATAAGTAAATACAATCTCTACTCTGGAGTTGAGGTTTAATCTTCCACGCGGTAGAGTTATTTCTTTTTTTTTTTGCAGGCGGTCATAAATGAACATTATTATCTGCACTGAACTCTGCTTACAAGAACAACTATTTTATCAATTATACATATAAATACAGAATGCACCTGTAATCTGACTTCACGAAGATACTGTACAAAATAGCCCCTGCTTAGCTAAGTGGTGAAGTATCGGCAGGAGGTGGATGTTTGGACATGACTAGGGAGTCAACGTCAACCATAGATACGAGGGTGCGCTTTTAATTTCCAGGAATGGGTAGGTGGGTCAATTATGAGGGTACTTACTCGAGTCTTTACGAATTAAGCAACTCATTATTAGTACACATAAATACCAAGTTTTAGCGTAATTAGGTCAGTAGTTTTTGAACTATCGTGGACGAAACAAGTCAATCGGGAACAAATTGTGAAATGTGGAGTACCGCGCTGTTATGAAGTTCCTTACCAAGCAAGAAAAACCAGTTCAAACCATACTGGAAGAGATGTCATCCGTTTACGGGGACTCTTGCCCAGGTAAAACCATAGTTTACAAGTGACATGCCCTCTTTAGGCAAGGCAGGGACTCACTTGAAGACAACCCACGGTTAGGCCGGCCGATTGAGCTGACCATTTCGGAAATCATTCAAAAAGTCGAAAAATTAATACTGGAAGATGCCCAGCTTAAGAAGAAACAGTTCGCAGAAATGGTAGGAGTATCAGATACAACAATTTTCAAAATTCTTTTTGGACTTCTGTAGGGAAGATAAAGATGAAGTATTGATTCGAATTATTACTGTGGGCACAAAACTTGGGTTCATCATTAAGCCGAGTACAAACAGGACACTATGCAGTGGCATAAAAAAGGCACTCCACCACCCAAGAAGTTTAAGATGTCACAGTCGGCTGGGAAAATCATGGCTACTATCTTTTGGGACTCAGAAGGGATCCTGTTGATCGATTATAAAAATAAAGATGTCTCCATAAGTATACTATGCTTCAATTCTAAAGCGGCTAGGAGAAACAGTCAACGAAAAACGAAGAAAAAAATGACCAAAATACGTAACTTAATTGAGAGATCGGAAAAATGTATAAGGGTAGCAGGTGAAAATATTGAAAAGGAAAAATAAATTAGTACTTTTAGCCCCCATTCCGGGAACTTAAAAACGTCCCCTTCGTATATGAAGAATAAAAAGTCTCATTATAGCCGAGAAGAAGGTTTGAAGACTCTCAGGACACGATGAATGGTGCTCATATAGTGGTGCCTAGATGCTATTGGCTGCGTCTCTACGTGAGTTGATCGTCAGCAAGAATATTTTTTTAAGATAAGCAGATAGAGTTTCAGAGATTTTCCATGTTTTACACTATAGTGTATTAATTAATAAATTCAGCATGATCCAAATGCACAGGCCTCATTTCAAATTTTGTCTCACGTTTGAAGCGACTTCCACGTTCCTTCAAAGTTACTCAACTCACAATTAGTAAAAGAAACGTGGTAAATATTCCGTAGGTACAAAAAACGGTTTCAAGCACGTTCGGAACTCGCTCGTCGACTCCATGTGCAACCTTGCATCCTTCGGACAAGTGGGACAGTGGATCCCCAAACGCAACTGCTTCGTCCGGATGGAGTCATTACTACTGCGTTACGAGAGGACGAAAGAATGTCATGGCGCTGAGGACGAGACGCCTCGTTTCTTCATTCTTTATATTCGTGTCGACGGATGAATTCCAGTTGTTAATCTGAACGTTAATGATGACCGATGACGCAAGAAGGAAATCGCGAGGATGCCACGTTCCTTCGACGTTGTGATACAATTTGAAACACCTGTGATAAGTTATAGCGGCCCATCAGGAAATGAGTTGATTATTATGTTCACACCTAAGAGTCAATTTCGACGGCAGAAATATTTGAGACAAACGAGTTATTGAAATGAAAGAACTACAATAATACTAACAAAATAATTCGAAGTGGTCTGTATTCTGTCGATACTGCCAGACGCGGATCGCGATTTCGATCTTTTTGGATCTCATCAGCGCGTCGCAGGCAGCTCCGACAGAACACAGACCAACCATTACCTGCTGTCTTAACAGCGCGTTTTAGAAAATACCACAAATGGCGTGGTGAGCGCCATCTGTAGTACGATGCTACATTTGAGGACTAAGTATGCTCCAACAAGGTCCATTTAAAAATATGGATATCTACTTGCTGAAGGTCCTAAATGGACCTTGTTGGAGCATACGTAATCCTCAAATGTAGCATCGTACTACAGATGGCGCTCACCACGCCATTTGTAGTATTTTTTAAAATAATACCGAATACCATGAATGATTCTCATTTCTTGAGACCATAGGCTTTCACAGTCGAAATCCATTGTAAGATTTGGACTGATAGGTGGTGGTAGAAATGAAAAATTAGGTCCATACGCTTGACCTGCAACTTTTTTTTTTTTTTTATGTTTTCGTGGAAGAGGGGAAATCTTCAGAAGACACCCAGCCGTCCGTACGACTGGACCTGCAACTGCGGCTAACATCTTCAATAGAAACTGCATTGATAACGTTAGCAAAATGTGGACAGCAAATGTATAGACCTAATCGTTCATTTTGCCCATGTATATCGGCCCAAATTTGCATTCTACCATGAGGGTAGTATTACACAGTATCCGTAAATTCTTAATTAGATCATTGGTACAAAGTTGGTGCATCTAAATTAATTATTTAAAACTGTAAACTAAGTCAATTAGCAACCGTTTAAAAAGCGGAATCAATTACTAAGATGTAGGGTGGTGAAGCGGCTTACCGTGTTCACTCACCCTGTGATAGTTCCCTACCGTTTCTACGTTCCTCAATTATCTAATAAAGTAGGGTAAGAATTCGTTGCTGTATAACATGGTGGAGTAGTTATATCTCAAAATAAACATATGAATTCGCTTCTTTATGACCTAGTCCTAAAAAAAATGGATATTGGGCAAACTTTTCGGGCGACTAATGACTACACTACTGTAGGTGTTTTTCTTTATCTCAGGTTTTGTTTTGGCTTAGCAGTAGTCTGTGATGATAATGTTATTCGCAATTTGGACGCAAAAAGCATTAAACCCATTGAAATACTTCAAAAATTGATTAAACAGTACGAAGAAAAGGAGAGTCTTGTATGGATGTCGCAAACATATACAGTCAAAACCGTTTACTACGACATCGTTTAGAACAACATACCGGTTATATTGACCAAAATCGTAGGTCCCGGCTTAATTCTGTTAGACCGCCCTATAAAAAACACTGGTTTTTACGACATTGCTTATTACGACATATCTCTTTGAGCGACTACATTTAACTGATATTTTCGGAAAATTATATCTGTTAGAACGACCAGCTGTATTGTAAACATTTGAATAGATAACAGTATCCACATCTGGTACAGTAAATGACCATCAAGATCGCAAAAGTAAACAAAAACGTATCGAAAATACTACAAATGGCGCAGTTAACGCCATCTGTAGCACGATGCTACATTTTAGGATTACGTATGCTCCAACAAGGTCCACTTACGTAAATAACTTGCTGAAAACGAATCCCGGCAGAGCCAACCTCAACGTGATATGCACGACAAATTATTTTAAAAGCATATCGAGTTTAAGGTCTATCGTAATTTTCAATATATCTTTTACTGAAGCTAAGGAGTTTATTGATGCAGATAACTCTATTGCAATTTGTGCACCAGCTACGGAAGGTGATATTGTACAAGAAGTTCAAGAGGAAAATGACGAACAGGAAGAGACTGAAGAACAATTTACAGTGCCAACTTTGAATGATGGTCTCAATACTGTCAGTGTATTACGAAAAATTGTTTTTTATTCTAATGAACAGTTTCATATGCAGGGAAATTATGATGATACATTAATTAAAATTAAACGTGAACTACAAAGTCTCTATGCACTTCAGAAGTGTTCCAAACAGACTAAAATTCCAGATTTTATTAATATAGAAAAATGATAATTATATGTACGTAACGTCTTTTTATAATACGTTTATGTAAAATAAATAAAATAAAATAGTTTTATTTTATATATGAATATATTAATCACACATTCAACAATAGGTATAACAACGTCACCGGCTATTACGACTATCGGTTTTTACGAGCAAATATGAGTAGTCCCTTCGGTGTCGTCATAACAGACTTTGACTGTACTTGGTATTAGATACGCAACTGATATAAGGATTCTGCCTTTCCTATATAGAAGACCAAATACCATTATTAAGTTTTAAGTTCATAACAATGTAGATGATGTCGTAATACACATACATTTAAATTTTCAAAAGAACCTACCTAACTAGAAGTCGAAATTGTTTTAGTACTAACCTGTTAACTCATCGGCATCAACTTCTCTTCGAACAAGAGCAGCTACGGTTTGTGCAGCGGGTAATCCCCAAGCTACAACGTGTAAAAACGTGCCCATAGATCTCAATTTCTCTGGTGTCCATGACAGCCCTGCTCTGGCAACCCACCAAGCGCAAAGACAAACCCACCTGCAACAACAACAAATATGTTCAATTAAAAAAAGTTAGTTTGACGTAGTTGTAGACAATTTGGATCAGGCCGATAGAAAGCCATTAAAAATTAATAAATGTCATTGTTAAGGTGATATTAATAAAAAAGGGCCAATTCATAATGTAATAATATTTTTATTATTTCATTATTAATAATATTATTAGTCATTTCGGTTATAATTAAGTTTTTTTAAGATAGGTTTTCTGTTAACAGTAATTAGTTTCTAAACTTTCCTTAAAAAAATCTAACCGTTGTAGGCGAAACGTTCGTTTGCTTTTTGACTAAATAAAAACCTTATTACCTAAAAAATTGACTCTGATTTCCATATTAAATGAATACGAGAGGGGATGAAATGGAAACTATTGGTAAAAATCTAAAAAAAGGTTTTTGAACCTATTATTTGATGCTTGTCGGCAAAAGAAAAACTCAAATCCAAAATCTCCACACGATCCCAACAGAGTTTAGCAGAGAATTTTATTGTTGAGAATAAATTATGGTTACAATTTTTGTTGTGATTTAATTAATAGTAGTGAAGGGTTTTTTATTTTAAAAACGCAATATACTTTATTATACGGTATACAAAACTACCACTAAAAATATACATGTTAGGGTTGTGCATTAAAGTGAATTAATTTTTTTATTTATTCTTACTACTAAAGATAACGTCATATTAATGAGAAAAAATTGTTGCTGCTATCACGCTCTCGCCGGGAAACGATCCCGAGACCCTGGCTTTAAGCACCTTCGTTCTACCACTAATCTACGAGAAGTAACAGCAGCATCAACGACAATTTTGCTTAACTACGAAGGTCACAGAATCGTAGAAATCAATATATAATCATTATTAACAATGAGAATTTTAAAAGAATTTTTGTAGGGTTTTCAATGCATTAAAAGGAAATAATTTTTCTCGATGTTTGGATTATGTTGGTCACGTTCTAATATTGCTTAAACCGATGAGTCAAAACCGAAAGTTTAAGTGATGTTATATTTTCTTTGGAATGGTTTATTTTTCCTTTATGAGCATTCTGTTTAATTTTAAAAATTAAAATGAAGTATCTGTTGTTAATAAACAAGATTAGGTTACACATAGTTTTTTGCAAACTGATACCCGAAAGTTTAGCTAAAAGTTTGAAAACCTGTTTATCGCAGTTTACAACCTTTATCTACACAAAACAATCCCTTTTATTGCTTACACGTTGTTAGTGTCATTATAAATCGATTTTATCAGTTTCGCTTTAATTCTTAGCACCTGATAAACGTTTATCTTTAATCTGGCGGCCTCTTTGATCTGATATTTGTATAGTTTTTATAACAAGACTTCATAGAAATTTCTCTTCGCTTGGTCGCCGAAACTCATTAAAATTTAAGCACAGTTAATTCAGGACACTCCAAAGCCATTAGCTAATTATCTGCTTTAGATGCAAATTTTTTTGAAAATAAATGACAAACGCTAATTCAGGTACTAAAATGACACAAATAAAATAAAACCGATAAAGCGCGACATCGTTTTAGAATGAGCTACCAAGAACTGACGATGACGACTTGAATAATTCAATTTAAGAAGATTTAGGTATTTCAGGATTCCAGGAAACCTATATTGGTCACATGGAATCAAAAAATTAAAAATGACCGCCTATTTTCAAGGCCATTTTACTTTTTAAAAGGTACATAACAGATGAGCTAGTTTAATACGATGTTCAGACATTAAAATTGAGATAAAATATATTTTTTCAATATCCAGTTAAACGTGATACTAACCATACCTAAAAAGAGAGGCATAGATAGATGCGAAGCATTTAGAACAATTAGCTTAACTTCCCGTGCGTTAAAAACCTTAACTAGAATTGTACAGAGGAGGATGGATAAAAGGGCGGAAGAACTTTCAGGGGAAGATCAATTTGGGTTTAGAAGAAATAGAGAAACGCGGGAGTCCATTCTCGCTTATCGGGTAACAATAGAGAAAACGATAGAAGAAACATAGGATTTGAATATTTAGAAAAAGCGTTTGACAATGTTAAAGAGAACAAGATGTTAAATATACTTAAAAATGTAGAGATGACTTACAGAGATAGAAGAGTGATACTTAGTTTGCACAAACAGCAACAAGCACTTGTAGAGCTGGAGCAGCAACGCAGAGAAGTAAATATTAAGACGGGAGTCAGACAGGGATTTTAATCTATACATCGAAGACACGATCACCATCATTAAAGAAAGTGCAACTATCGGGATAGATATACAGGGGCAAAAGTTTAGGATGCTTGGATTTGCAAATAGATATAGCAGTATTAGCATCTAGCAAGGAGGAGTTTGAGATAACTTTAAATAAACTGGAAGCGGTATTGACGAAACAGTATTGTATGAAAATAAATAGAAGTAAAACAAAATACTGGTATGCTAGGGAAGAGAAATAGCGAATATAATGATAAGACACAAAAAATTAGAAGTAACTATTTTAGGCATTTAGGGTGGATACCGTGGATAGAGGTTAGAAATGAAGAGGTATTAGAAAGAAAGGAGAACAAAGTACTCTATGGAAGTCAACAAGAAATAGACGGGATAGATTGGTAGGACTCCTTCTCAGGCATGCTCTGGTCAGAGGCATATGACAGCCAGAAACAGGAGCTAAGAGGAGTAGAGGTAGACCTAGATTAGATTACTATTCGCAAATAGTTAAGGATGTGGATCTAGTTTTAGGAAAAAGGGAAAATAAGCTCAAGATAGGAATGACTGAAGGTTGCGTTTCTATCCAGTCTTAAGACTGAAGACCTGACCTTATGATGATGAGTTTTAGTCTGTTTCAATATCATAATCGTTCAATTTAAGATGTGATGGTTTCTTTAAATAATTTTTGACTATGAATGTCAAAAAATAACGGATTCAGTCTCCAAAAAAGGACACAAAAATCCTGTTTCTTTTAACTTCTCGCTATAGAAGCTTAAGATACAATTTGGACCTTAACCTTACTTCTTTTACTAATATTACTTTTTGCCAATGTATTCCGCAAAAAAATCAATAGACTGGATGAACAGCGTCTTCGTAATCCAATAGTCATGCAAGTATCAACTTGTAATCATTATAAAAAATGGTAACAATTTCTGATGAATTTTTGTAGGCAAGTACATATAACCGCAAGAATTCCCAACGCGAAAGGTCGCGAATTATGTTTGCGTTAATTCGACAAGACGCCTGTGAAAATAAATGCCAACAAAACGAGCAAACTACCAATTCCAATCTGTGTTACGGCCAATGTTCCGTGCATTTTCAACGTGCTCGTTTTTTTCTTGCGCCACGTCTCGTTAAGGCTCTTCTCCTTCTACCGTCCAACAGTCCGAACACGAACAGAAGCATTTTACGTGCCGCAACTTTAACATGAGATCGAGTCCAATCTAGTTAACAACGAGGCAGGTAAAGCGTCGTGATGGTCCGACGATACTACCTTCCACCAGTGGCGGCTGACGTTTAAAACAACAGGGGCATTTAAATTGTTACCAGAAATTTCATTGGTATGATTGAAAAGACACATTTTTAATTCAGTTACAGGGTAGTTATGTGTTAATCGAATTATTGATGCTCGTTTCACAATTATAATATGTTTTAAATACGTGAATTATCCTGACAATTAAGATTGACTTCATTAAAAGTACAGTCTATTTCAATTTGTTAGAATTGTGACCTTGAAGAAATCTGCGCGAAGATAGAAAAAATACACACTAGGCGTGAGCAAGACAGAAATAGTTGGAACAAGCTTGAACGAGCAGAGCTCTCGATGGGCTGTCTTAGGAGATCGGCTAGAACTGTACAGTAGTAGACGAAAATATTTAGCAATTTCTTAAAACAAAAATGTATATAAATTAACAATAGAAAACAAAGCAAAAGTTTTATAAGTGTTTAGAATGTTAAGTTAATTCTCTTGTTATTATTTTTGGCTAAATATGTTTTTAAATAAAGCATATTCTTAAATTTTAACGAGGCAGTTTAAATAATTTTGCAAATGGTACTGTACACTTTTGTCTAGTTCTCGCTCGATGATCGGTGGAGAAATGAGCTCCGCAGATAAATTGGAATTATGCTACGGTGCATCCTAATAAAGGGAAGGGGCATATCTCAAACTTCTTGAAACGAACAATACTATTCATCATCATAAGGTCGTCAGTCCTAACACTGCTTGGACACGTACAACCCATATCCTTAACTATTTGCGAACAGTAATCTAATCTAAGTTTACGTGTGATCATAAAAATTTACGTAAAATATAACCTTCTGACAATACTACATCTTGACGTGATACGTGAAATCGTCTGTAAAAGCTACAGACTCAAAGAATGCATTTCGCATAATAGGATGTGTGACCCGATTGTTTCCAACATTTTTGTTAATTTTTGATTAGAAAAGCTGAAAATTTTAACAATCCCCCCATTACAATCCCCTTGTCTTTGTTTACCCACTGCGACCGCTGGAGGAAACTGTTCACATGCCGCCACTGAGTTCTATGGTTGTACACCTAACTCAGCCTCGTCCGTTCGTCTCTCTTTCGCTTTTTCTTCCTTTTCCACGTTGTTATGCCCTGACAACAATGGTGTACCGTGGCCATTATTATTACAGTGTTTTGTTTGTTTTACCGTCCCGAACAACTGAAATTTATCGAGTCATGCGCCGTCTTCTCCTGGCCACGTTGTATTCAAATGAGTCCTTTTGTTTCGACAACGCCGCGCATTTTTTTTACAACAAACGAGGACCATAAATCGAAGACGGCCCCGAACGAGAACCCATGTATCTTGATTTATGGACACGCGATATATTTTAGCCAACCAAGCAGGCACATGTACCAAATTGAAAACCAAGTCGGTCGATCTTAAGAAGCATATGAAATTCTTGATGTGGAAAATGATCTTTAATGCCCAATAAACAATTGATGAAAACAATTTTAGCAATTTTGGTTACTAAAAGGAGGTACTACTGTATCACAAAAGAGCAT